CTGATCGGTCACCTCGTTCTCAGTCCGCCACGGCGCAACTTCCACCTCCGGAAGAGGGGCGGGGCAAGCGCCTTGAAGTCCACCTCGTAGTGGCGAGAATGATGCGGATGGTACACCCAGGTCTGTAGTTGATTAGCCTGACTGGGGGTCATGAAATACAGTCATAGCGACATCCTAACTATGAGTTCTGGCATGCCGCAAACGTACTGCTTCCTCCCTTTTGGCTCCGTGTCGATAGGGCGGAAGCCACCTTCTGCCGCCGGCGGGGTTGCGATCTTGAAGTCCATGGTCACGATGTTGCCGTCGCTCCAAAGTTCTGCGCCATGGCTGTAGTTTTGGTGTAGCACATGGATCATGTCGCTATCGTGGAAAGCATATACTCCTTCAGCAAGAGATTTATCCTTCGCCTTCTGGTCCATGTTGACTCTCATGCCCCATTTTCCCCTGGGCGGGAGAAATACGCCAGCGTTCAGGAGCGCGTAGAGCTTCCGGACGTCAGTAGCGCACGAGCAGGCTTCCCACTTTCCCCGCCTGACACGGTCATGGGCACAGTCAGGCAACAAGAATGGAATCTCGAGCATGGCACAATACTCATGTTCCACATGTTGCGTCTTACCCCAGTCGAATAGAGCAGAGCACGACAAGTTCGGACTTGATGTGGTGTGCAAGCGCCTCGTGATCAAGTATTCAATGGCCATCCTCCGGCAATATTCTGCCGTGATACGTGGAGAGCGCGCCAGACTCATCCTGGCCAACACCCACTCGCGGGCGGCGACGCGTCCTTTCAGCCCATCGTACCAGCCGTCGGCGTCGTAGAACTGCTCAACGAGATGAAATTCTTGAATAGAACGCTCCCTCTTGCGGGGAATCTGCATCATCTCGTAATCAACGACCTGTTGGGGTCCTACTATTGTCTCGACTTGAGGCAGCGTCCCGGATCCGGCCCTCAGCCCCCTGACCACCGCTGTTTGGTGGTCTTCGCATGCGTTGAAAAAATGTGGACAGGGTATGCGACCAATGCCAAAGTTGCAGACAATCTGCTCCTCGTGGCCGGTAATGGTGGAGTGATGAAGCACACTCTGGATGATCGCCTCCCAGTGGGGTCTTCCAGTAAGGCCTGATCCTGACGACGATGATGCTCCAGTCGCAGCCTTCGTCGCTTCCTTAACGGTCGGTGCCGCTGGTTTGCGAGACTTCGCCGTGAACAGCATGGCCGTTCCTTTTTCGACTGCCTCTATCACACTCTTCATATTGTCGTCGATGGGCAGAGTCTCCATGGGAGACCCTGCTTCGAATTCCATTCCGCAGATGTCCGCTCCGTCGTCATACGGTACTGTGGTGTAGCGTCGGTCTGCCCATGCCTGCCTGTCGTCATGGTGTTCCCCCAGCCATGATGAGAAGTCCTGAGAATTGATTTTAACGGATTCAGGCGGATCATACTGCGGCGCACCAATATCACCGAATGGCAGCAATTCCCCCACCCGGCAGCGCACATGGCGGCCGCCGATGGATATGACATGACTCATCATCGGGCCCTTCGCGCATGGGGGCAATGGTGCCGGAGTCGACGCCATTGGCGGGGGTGCCGTTGGTGGCGGAGGAGGAATGGTAGACGATGCGGCGCCGTTGGGGCGATCCGCCACGTCGAACACGGGGCAGCACAGCTCGTAGCACACCTTCGCCGCGTTGATAATGTACTTGACGAAGTCTATGGCATACGTGTGGTTATCTCCTCCCGGGAGGAAGTGCCAGTTGTCGCCCTCTGGGTGCCCCCCTCGGCGATGCAGCTCCGAGCCGCGTAGTAGGAGCATCCTGGGGTTCAGGCCAGCTTCCTGGTAGAGGTTGATCCTGTTCTGTCCGCATGCAAACACTCGGGAAGCAAGCGTGTCCCAAATTCTGCGGTCAGAGCCACCTTTGATATGATTCCAGCTTTGCCCATCGCCAAGGGCGAGCATCACAGGCATGTCGCCTGTCGCGTTGGCGATATTTGCCTGCTCGTCTAGGACATCGTCTATCATGGATAGAGCGTCCCTCTCGACCTCGTCGCAAACCGAGGGCGCGTCTTCTCGTCTTGCCCCCTTGACTCGCTCCTGGGCGCCGTCACTATGGACGCACAGCTCGCTGCCGTTCCAGATCATAACCCGACATCGGGTGTTGCTGCGTCCAAGTGGAGCGCCCCAGCTCATGGAACGTAGGTTAGCTCGAATATCGTCCAGAGCCCCACCATTCTTGATATGCACGCGCGCCCCTGTCAAACGTCTTTCAAGTTGTTACCTCAGGGCGGCGTTGAGTGCTGGACTTCCTTTGGCGTTTAGGAACGCTGCCGTGGAGTCGGAGGAGACGAGGAACTCTACATCGTTGAACATCCTATCACTCTCGTTCAAGTCAGCCCCGAGTTTTCGGGCCCACGCTCGGGTCGGAATAGGCCTGAACCACGTTGCATGTGGAACGTCGTAGGCTGCATAGAGGTAGATCGCCTCCCCCGAGAGACGGGAAGGGACCCCAGCAGCCCTGATGAGGCTGCTGAGCGCAGCACAAGCCTGGGGAAAGTCGAGCCTGGCGAAAGCCGCGGCCGCCTCTGGCTTGATGACGTAGGCGAGGGCCTTGCCAATTGACTCCGCTGCCGTAACGTAAGCTGGCCTCGGCCCTTTATCTGGCAAGACATCCAGGTCCAGACGCGGATCGGGTCTGCTCTCCTTCTTGTGTCGCTCGTAACAATACTCCAGAGCGTCCCAATATCCGTGTACTCCCATCTTGTCAGCAATAGCACATCTGTTCCGCTTCTTTGCCGTCTTGGAATCGTCGGCTTGCGAGCGGCCAGCCGTGGGCTGTTGGGCCGGTTCGGTTGGCCCGGTACCGTGAGCAGGGCCCCGGGTACCTGCACTCCCCGTGTCATTCACATCGTCCTGTGCAGTATCATGCACCTCGTGAGGGGGCGGGTCAACGTCAATCCTATCGGGAGGCGGAGGATATTCGACGACATGGTCGTCCGGAGTCCTCGTACCTTCCTCCTGAATCGGCCCCGACTTGTCCTCTTCACTCCGCGGCGAATTGGGCTCCATTCTCACGTCGGGCAGGTCCTGGGCCCGCTCGGCGCGCCGCGTAGATCCTCGGAAATCCCTCGGAAGTAGATCCTCGGAAGTCCTGTGCCCATTCTTCGTGAAGCCCCTCGGAAGTAGATCCTCCGAGGTCGGGCGGCATAGAATCGCCCGAATGAGGTGGCGCCAGGGCTGGCCGCTGTTGTTCTGCAGCGGCAGCGGCGCTGGCATCAGCTTGCCACTGTCGCTCTGCAGCGGCAGCCTCACAGGCATCAGCTAGCTCCTGGAGCCGACGGAGACGCGACGCCAGTTCCGCCGATGCTCCGGTCGCGCAACTGCCGGTCACCTGCTGGCCCATGCCATCCGAGCCATGGGCTGGTTCGCGGGCTGGAATCTCCGCCTGCGAGGGACGATTGGCCGCCTCGCGCTCCTCGCGCGCTCTGCGCAGGCGCTTTTCCAAACCCGCCATGTTCTCGCTGGCGTAGTCGCCGGGTGCCTGCCGCTCCCGGCCATCCGCGTGGGCTGCGACAGGGCCCGGGTGAGGCGCAGCGGGCGCTCTCTTCTGCCTCGGCTGCGTCGTAGGCGGGGGCATGCTCTGCCCCCCTGCTGGCGAGTAACTGCTCGGAGGCGGCGACGGCGGCGTGCGAGCACCCATCGGCCGCGGCTTCCATCCCGGAGGCGGGGGTTTCCCCGTTGGCAAGTTCGAAGGCGGCTCCTTCCGCGGCAGCGCCTGCGAGGGCGGGGCCGCCGAGGTCTGCGCCGACCGCGGGGGCGCCCCAGGCGGAGCCTTCCCCATGAGGAGGCGGTTTGCATTGCGGGGCAGTGCCCGGGGCCTGAGGCCTAGGAGCACGACCCTCGCCATGGGCGTAGGATGGCGGAGGTGCGCCCGGAGCCTGGGGCTTCGGCGCTGGCCCCTCGCCGTGGGCGGTATGACGCGGAGGCGCGCTAGAAGCCTGAGGCTTTGGCGCCGGCCCCTCGCCGATGGCGGCGCAGGGCGGAGGCGCGCTGGGAGCCCGGGGCTTCGCCGAGCGGCCTTCGTTTGATGCGTGGCACGGCGGGGGCGCGCCGGGGGCCTGTGGCTTCGGCGGACGGCCCGCGCCGGAGTCAGAGCGCGGCGGAGGCGCCCCAGGAGCCTGGGGCTTCGGTGGCGCCTTCTGCGGCGGCACGCCACCAGGAAGTGCCTTCGGCGGCGGCGAGGGAGGTCCTCTCGCCGTCTGTCCTCTCGATGAATGTCCTGAGCCTTCCGCTCTCGTGCGATTCCAGCGGCCCGAGAGGGGGCCGCCCCCGGCCAGTGCGTGGTGCGCTGCCGAGGGAGCTGCCTTCTGTTCGACGTTAGCACGCCCCGCCCTCTCGTCACGCCTCAGCTGCTGACGAAGGTTGACGTACGCCGACGGCGCAATGTAGAGGGGACTCGGGTCGAACACACAGTCAGGGAGGCCCTGAAGGCGGCGCTGCTCGGGGCCAGGACACACATTGACAGAGCGCTTCAGCCACTCGTAATGAACAAGGCTGTCCGCGAACTCGACCTGGTAGTCATGTTTGCACGACGCCCTGCGGCCCTCCAATGTGACGAACGGCCATGGGTCGCCGTCCCATGCGGGGCGCTGGCGCGGGTGCCGAACGACGCGGTAGGTCGGAAAGTCGTTCACGTGAACCTCCAGGTCCTCAAACGTTGCTCCCTCGAAAGAGGTCATTCACGCGACGTCATGTAGTAGCATCCTCCTGCCCAGCACACTGTCCGCGAGGGGCTCGTTCTCCCTCGTAGGATAGCGAATGCGCGCAGCAGGCCCTGGCTGAACATGGTCAGGATCGCCTGCAGCGCCAGTCCAATCGACATGGTCGGGCAGCGTGGCGTGGATCGAGTAAAACCTGTCAGCAATGTGCCTCCGAGGTCCTCTGGGCCTGCACTGGCCCACGTGATCCCAGACCGGGCTCAAGAACCACTGGGAGAGATCCCGAGGCGTTCTCGTCTCCAGCATCTCGTAGCTTGTCGGCTGGTTCCTGGAACCACGCCTGGAGCAGGGCCTCGTTCTGTTCTTGAGTGAGGAATGGCCGGGTGATGCGGCACCCCATGGGAGCTTTCGCATCCAACCAGGGCGTTGTGACAACAGCGCTCAAGTCCTCGATCCTGCGACGTCCGCCCAGTTCGCGGGGGACCTCCCAGACTGACACCTTGCCACGAAGGACAGGAAGGTGTTTGCCCTTTATGAAATGCTCCAATCCCCCAACCCAGGGAACGTTGCCGGAACTGGCGGAATTCCAGATGGCGTTGTACATGTCCGGCGGGAGGTTCACCGTGGGACGATATATCGGCTTCTTGAATATCTGCGCGAGCAGTCCGACTTCATCGAGCCCATTGTTCAGCATCCTTGCCAGCTTGTCCGTGTGCATGGCACGATACACTTGGCGGAACTCGCTCGTCAGTACTTGTCCTGGCTGGAGCCCCACTACATGGTACAGATTGGGGGTATTGCTCCATGGTTGCGTGCGCGGTGTGAATGCACCCCCAAGCTGGATCGGCGTGGGAGACATGGTGCCCCCGTGATCGTTGCTCTCATCAGCTCCTTGGGTCTTATCGGAGTAGTGCAACTTCACATCATGCCATTGGCCCTTCGGGAGTGCATACTGATTCGGACGATTCGCATCGTACTCCGTTGCGCACCCCGAGCGGCAACGACGCTCAATATTGGTATATCCCAGGATTTTCTTGGCGAGCTGCAGGAGATCCGTTGCTTATTTGATGAGGTTCGTGAGCTTGGCTTCATCACTCGTCTCCGTAGACCGCATGATGATCGCGATCAGCTCGTACCCGAAAGCGTTCGGGCAGTCCTGGCCGCGCTGGGACATCTTGCCCCAGAACCCGCGCAGGCCGCCGCGCGCGATGCAGGACGCGGTCCTTTCCGAGTCTCTTATGAAGAGACACTGGTCGGAGCTGGGGCACGCGACGCCCTTCTTCACGTGACTTGCGGACCTGCGGGGCCCGCGACCGAGGGGCGCAGGCGCAACTGAAGCGCCGGTGCGGAAGCTGCGAGGCGCCGGCGAGCAGCGGCGCGCGAGCAAGGCATCATGGCTGGCGAGGCAGCCGCGTCGGGGGGCTGCGCGGGGGCGCCGGTTTGAGCCGAAATGGCAGCGGTAGCAAACGCATGCGCACGCACGACGGCGGGAGCGGCATGCACCGGGGCACAGTACGTTGTACCAACACATGCGCCGTCCTCAAGTGCCTTCAACACCCACAGATGTACACGTCTCGCAAACTGATCAGCGTAATCTTCCGCCGGTTTGCAATCCTCCCCTCTAGCCTCGACATGCTTGTGGCTGCCATCGCACCTACGTACTAATCCCTCAGCAATCACGTTCGAGGATGGAGCGATGCTCCATGGCTTCTTCATGTATTGTCCTTTGTTGTTTTTTCAAGCCGTATGCGCAGCCATGGAGCTGCATCTAGGTCATTATATGCTTGTTCAAAAATTCCTTCATGTGTAGATCGGGCCAGTATCGGCACGGGGTCGGCCACTCAAGGCGTATTTGGCAATTTCTCGTGCCAGCTTCCTGGGCCAAATCGCGAGCTACCCATGACAACTTCCTAAAACGTGTTACGTGACCCCTCAATTTCTTGAAAGCTTTCTCGCTGCCGGAGCGGTAATATATGGCCTCATTTAAGTATTGCCATGGAGATCCGCCCGTACATGGTATTGAGATCCACAGTGTTATTCCCCACATGTTTCGTGGGGTTCTGGTTTTCTTCCCTGCCGCGGCGCACCCGCGTCTCACCTCACCTCATACCTCATCTCCTCTCTCCCCCTTCCTCTCCTCACCCGCGCTAAACGCGTGCACGGCAAGTACATGAGACACGGGTCTACATACAGCCGCGCGCATGCACCCACTCGCACACAACACACACACACACACACCCACACCATACAACGCTAGTGCGCGCCTGGCGTGATCACTGCAGCGTCCATTGAGGCGTGTGCGCGACATAGTGGGCACCCACATGAGACACGTCCCGATATAGCCGCACACGCATCATACACATACACAAACCATGCCATATACCAGACGTGCGTGCAGGATTCGCAGTGGATGGCAGGAGGCTCTATGCAGGCCATGGCGCAGGGCACGGCAGCCGTGGCACTTTCTCGACACCACAGGGGGTGCGCAGGGGGTGGTCTCTCACCGCGGCCTCTATACGCGCCAATGTCGCAGGGTCTAGCAGGCGTGGCACTTTCTCGACACCGGAGGGGGTGCGCAGGGGGTGGTCTCTCACCGCGGCCCCTATACGCGCCAATGTCGCAGGGCCTAGCAGGCGTGGCACTTCCTCGACACCAGAGGGGGTGCGCAGGGGGTGGTCTCTCACCGCGGCCCCTATACGCGCCAATGTCGCAGGGCTTAGCAGGCGTGGCACTTTCTCGACCCCGCAGGGGGTGCGCAAGGAGGTGGTCTCTCACCGCGGCCCCTATACGCGCCAATGCCGCAGGGCCTAGCAGGCGTGGCACTTCCTCGACACCAGAGGGGGTGCGCACGGGGGTGGTCTCTCACCGCGGGCTCTATACGCGCCAATGTCGCAGGGCCTAGCAGGCGTGGCACTTTCTCGACACCGGAGGGGGTGCGCAGGGGGTGGTCTCTCACCGCGGTCTCCATACGCGCCAATGTCGCAGGGCCTGGGGTGCGCAGGGGGTGGTCTCTCACCGCGGTCTCCATACGCGCCAATGCGCAGGGCCTAGCAGGCGTTGCACATTCTCGACACCAGAGGGGGTGCGCAGGGGGTGGTCTCTCACCGCGGTCCCTATGCGCGCCAATGTCGCAGGGCCTAGCAGGCGTGGCACTTTCTCGACACCAGAGGGGGTGCGCACGGGGGTGGTCTCTCACCGCGGTCTCTATACGCACCAATGTCGCAGGGCCTAGCAGGCGTGGCACTTTCTCGACTCCAGAGGGGGTGCGCAGGGGGTGGTCTCTCACCGCGGTCTCCATACGCGCCAATGCGCAGGGCCTAGCAGGCGTGGCACTTTCTCGACACCGGAGGGGGTGCGCAGGGGGTGGTCTCTCAACGCGTTCCCCATACGCGCCAATGTCGCAGGGCCTAGCAGGCGTGGCACTTTCTCGACACCGGAGGGCGTGCGCAGGGAGTGGTCTCTCACCGCGGTCTCCATACGCGCCAATGTCGCAGGGCTTAGCAGGCATGGCACTTTCTCAGCACTGGAGGGGGTTCGCAAGGGAGGGGGTCTCTCACCGCGGCCCCTAAACGCTGCCTCGCAGGCGTGGCACTTTCTCGACACCAGAGGAGGTGCGCAGGGGGTGGTCTCTCACCGCGGCCCCCATACGCGCTAATGTCGCAGGGCCCAGCAGGCGTGGTATTTTCTCGACACCGGAGGGGGTGCGCACGTGGGTGGTCTCTCACCGCGGTCTCTATACGCGCCAATGTCGCAGGGCCGACCAGGCGTGTCAATTTCTTGACAGCAGAGAGGGTACGTAGGTAGCGTAGCAGCCTTGACATTTTCCTGGATTCTATATCTTGCGGCAGAAGTATTCTCAGCAAGGTTAACTGTACACACCTCGGCTCAAGCAGGCTCAAAGACGACAGCAGGCGCCCGCAGGCGTGCCCCCAAAATGTGCAGTAGCCGAATTGCCTCCTCCGTGCACCGCTCTCGTGAACCGGACGGTCGAGATGAGCGTCGACATTAGATTGGCAGGGTTGCAAGAGTACATCGATAAGCATGGCATGGACAGGTTCATCAAATCCGCGTTTGAAGCTTACGGCCGCCAGCTGCGAAATGGGTGGCCGGACACGCTTCACAATATGTACAATGACTTGCCGCATCCAGGAACGAACGACGACGGCAGGAGGCAGTGTCTGGCGGCTTTCCTGATGGACCCTACGTCGGGCGGGTTCCCCCGAGACGCAACCGCTGATCAGCCAGGGGAGACGGGCGAAGATGACGACAGGCCGCCAGCGAAGGCCCCCAGACTGCACGAGGCCGGCAGCTTGGGCGCTGGCCCAGAGTCTCCTTCCACAGCGCACTGCGCGCATATACAAGCAACGCCCATGAAACCCACGCCCATGAAGTCCACGCCCGCGCAGGCTTTCACTCCGCAGCGGTCTCCAGCACTTCTGCTTGCTACCTCTGTTCGTTCCACAGGCACCCCTCGCATTCCGCTGTCCCCTGAGCCGGCTCAGACGGACCGCTGGTGGGCAGAAGTACCTTGGTCGCAAAGCCTGCGAGAATCAGTTCAGCTCGAGAACCTGTTGGCGAAAGCGGATGCGAAAGCAATCAATTGGCACCAGGCATTCGCGGCCAAGCGAGCCTCTGATCCGGAGTACATGCCGTCGAGGAGGGGCGACGACGCCGATTTGCGGCAGGCGCTTTACAGGTACTCCACGAACGCTGGATCCTACAGAGTGGATGTACCTACCCTTCGTCTGTTCGCACTGCAGCCTGACATGCTCGGCGTATCTAGCGCCAGGGTATACGGGGAGGTGAGCGACGCCCCCCCCTGGCATTGGACGTTCCAAGCTGCTGCTGATCATCGTGGCACCGACTCTCTGCGCGACGTGGAAGGCCCAGCGCGCTTCTCGCGGCAGGCTGCCCTGGCAGAGCGGCTGGAGGCGGTGAAGTTCCTCTACCCAGCTGGCCCGGAGGACCCGCGCCCCGACCCGGCCAGGGCCAAGCGCATCACACAGGTGCTCGCTGCTTGGACGGACTTCAGACGCATGAGCCTCGCCCGCGCGGATTCGTTCTCGTTTGCACAGGACAGAATATTCGATTTTCTTTGCCGGCGTTACAGACGCCGGCCAAGAAATCATTTAGAACGTCGGCGTGATGCTCAGCAGAGCCACTTGCATGGACGATATGCTCTTACTTCGGCCGCCGCCAAGGGAGGTCCTGCAGCAAGGCCCGCCTCCGTCCGTGCTCAAAGCCCCCCGGATGTTCGATGAGCGCATGGCCGCGGAGACGCGGGAGATCGAGGCCCTCGCCCTGGAACGCCAATGGATCCTGCCAGCGGCGTGAGGTCGTCGGAGCGCACGGCCGCCAGAGTCTTTCCGACAAAGGCAGCGCTGTCCAGCCGCGTCGAATTCGCGCGGCCCGTGCCGCTTCTGGACGATGTCGGAGCGCCCGCCCAGCTTCGGTTGTCGTGGCAACCACAGCCCAAATATTTTCCATCCAAGGGCACTCGCATGTCGCACGCAGGCGGATCACGTTTGCCATGCAAGTCTTTTGCGCGCACACCTCAGAGACTCTCCGTCGAAGAGACGCGGCGACAGACGCGTGGAAACTGCACGAGACTAGAAAGAGTAGACCGACCGAGGAAAGAAAGGGAGGCAGGGGTGCGGGAGAACGCAGCATGAGGCGAGGGGGTGTGATTTGCACCAACTCCCAAGTGGCCCCCCTGACTACTCGAGCTGTGGCAAATCGTTTTGCATCACCTCGTTGGTTGTTGCGATCCCAGGAAACGGCCCTCGGTGACCACCTCGACCTTTTCCCCGATGGAGGATAGAATGCGGGGAGGAGGGAGGAGGTTCACTCAGTAGTGCGTTGGATGGCACTATAGGGAAACATTCGCGACGAGGGTTTAGAACGCAGGTTTCCGCATATATGATCATGAAAAAGCAAACACATAGGATTTAAATAAAGTATGTGGGGTTCCTCGGTAGGGTAATTCGTTTGTCCGTGGCTTGGTCTTGACTTTTTCATCTCTTTTTCGAACTCCTCTATTCTAGCCACGGCAAACGCTTTGCCGTCCGTGGTGGTCATGTCTTCATCTTCCGTCAAACGCACCACCGTGCAGTGATGATCGGGGATGAAATTGCGATTCCCCATCTGGCTGTTAGGCCCGCAGCAAAACTCTATGCATAGGCGTTGTCGGGATGTTTCGCTGGAACCTGCAGCGGCATCGGGAACAGCAACTATAGCATGGCTACGTGTTGCACTCCGTTCATCGGTAGCCTCCGCTGGTGCTCCCGCTCGGTTATGA